ATACGAGGAGAATTATTTCTTCCCTGTACAGAACCTATCACTTGTCTATGGTATTTGACAATATAACTTACAACTCTATATTCCACTTAACAACTCGAGTTTGTACATGTTACGCAATTCTAGTATATATGCAAATATTTGTCCGTAAGAGTACTTTTATCTAAATCTTAAAAATTTTGTATGTTAAATTATTTTGAAGGCTAAGTTTCAAATTGACATAGTATATAAATTTGATATTTTTGAAAAAAATTTCTCACCTGATATGTTAAATTTATTAGTATTTTATTAGTTTTACTTTAAATTTTATTTATGTTAATATTTTTTTAACACTTTCACAGGTTCATTCCATTAAAATAATGAAACTTGTGTGGGTGATTTTCTGATTACACTGTCAAACAGGTACTCAACTGGAGAGCACCGGCAGAATAGATTAAGCCCGAACAACCTGCAACAGAAAGAAGAGTTTCCGGCGGTGGCTCGTCCACCCGGGGCACTCCGACAATCAAGTCAGTACTCAATATCTCTCAAAGATAACCAATAGTGCTTAACTCACTAAACAGAATATCAAAAGCATATTTTAGACCCATGGGGGTGCTTTTCTTTTATAACAAACTCAATCCTAGTCCCAATAGAAGCCTAACTCTATTGGACTTAGGATTACTTGCTAATCTTGGACTTCCAATAGGATTAGGATAAACTCGTCTCATCTTTATCCAAACTGAAGTCTTCTCCCATTCTAGGACTCTTGTCCCTTATCCGCTTATCTCGGATTTCGGTATTCTCGTAGATAACCTCGGCGTAGCCGAGATTACCTCGGTGTCATGATCAGGACACGTGGCACCTCGGCTGGCACTTCGGTGACACCTCAGCCATGTGTTGTCATTCAAAAATTATGTCCCCACAACTGCCCCCTAGGTTCTATTACCTCGGCATCCTGAGGTGATGGAACTTACATCATTCCTTCCTTTAATCATGACTCGGGTTTAACTTCAACTTGTAAACTTTTCTCAAGTTTCAACAAGCGTTAAACATCATCTCGATTTAACTTTAATTTGTAAACTTTTCTCAAGTTTCAACAAGTGTTAAACATCTCGGTTTAACTTCAACTTGTAAACTTTTCTCAAGTTTCAACAAGCGTTAAACATCATCTCGGTAAACTCTTCTCTTCTCGGACTTAATCATCTTAGGCCGAGATCTTGTCTTCTGGAATCTAGGATTCGAGATCTGGAATCCAGGATCAGCTTACTTGGGCTGAGCTCTTGTCTTCTCATATCCAGTGTTATCTCGGCTTCGCTACGGCGAACCATTTCTCTTCTCTGGTTTGGACGCCTTTGTCCCCGGCGTGTCCTCCTCGGCTCTGGCATACTTTTCTATCTTGGCCATCAGTTCCTCCATGTTTTTTGGCAATGTCTTTGCCAGTGATTTTCGAAGTAGGCAGTCATCCTTCAAGCCGCTTTTAAACGACACGACCGTCACCTCTTGATTGCATCTTGGTATTCGGTTGAATACCTCATAATACCTTTTGGCATAGGCCCTAAGACTTTCATCCTCGCCGATCTTCAGGGCCATTAGGGCGTCCACCGTCAATGGCTGTAGCTTGTTTGTCACGAACCTGACCACAAACATCTCGGCCAAGCCTTCCCAGGTTTTCACAGTTCCTTTTAGCAACTTGTGAAAAGAACAGAGATCAAGAAGTTTGATGTGGTAAGGATAGAACAAATTGGCAGGGAGGAAAACAGCCGAGCGGACGAGCTAGCAGGCCTTGCATCAATGGCAGATACATCAATCCCTCATCCATTACTCGTCGACTTCTTACCAAGACCAAGCATAGAAGACCCCGAAGCAGAAGAAGTATGTTGCGCAGAATTAGGCCCTTCTTGGATGGATCCCATCATCCTGTTCCTGAAAAACGGTGTCCTACCAGAAGAGAAAAAAGAAGCCAACAGAATAAGGGCAAAGTCGCAGCGATTTTGGCTATCTCCATCTTTGACATTATACAAGAAGTCATTCTCTGGGCCTTACCTCAAGTGCGTTCATCCCAGCAAAGTAGAAGCCTTCCTATTCGAAATACATGAAGGGGTATGTGGAAGTCATCAAGGGGGAAGGTCGCTCGCCTACAGGGCTATTTCGCAAGGATACTGGTGGCCATATATGCAAGCAGACTCAGAAAAATATGTGAAAAAGTGTGAAAAATGCCAGAAATTCGCACACCAAATACATCAACCAGCAAGAGAACTCCTACCCTTAACTAGCCCATGGCCTTTCGCAATGTGGGGCTTGGACATAGTAGGACCACTTCCAACAGCACCCGGATTTCAACGGATGGTCACCAAGATGTTTGAACCATTGTTAGGCAGAACAATGGAGGCGTACATCGACGACATGGTGGTCAAAAGCAAGGATGAGAATGACCATCTGAAAGTGGGTGGAAGCAGAAGCATTGGCGTCAATCAAAGAAAAAGATGTGAAGAAGTTCGTTTGGCAAAATATTATCACTCAGTTTGGCATACCAGAAGCACTGATCTCAGACAATGGTACTCAGTTCGACGGCAGAATCTTCAGAAGCTTTTGTGAAGAATACAAGATAGAGTTCTACAATTCCACACCGGCATATCCTCAAGGGAATGGACAAGCTGAAGCATCGAATAAAGTCGTCATGGATGGACTAAAGAAAAGGCTAGAGAAAGCAAAAGGCAAGTGGGCGGATGAACTTCCTCACGTCTTATGGGCTTACCGCACCACTCCTCGGCGATCAACTGGAGAAACACCATTCTCCTTAGCCTATGGAATGGAGGCAGTGATCCCACTAGAAGTTGGCCTCCCCACAATACGAAGCGAAAATTTTGATCCAGACTTAAATGGAGAAGTCATAGCCCTAGAACTCAACCTTGCAGAAGAAAGAAGAGAAAGAGCGTTAGTCCACATCGCCTCATACCAACGAGAGTTAATCAGAAAATACAGCAAAAAGGTGCATCCGAGGCAATTCAAGATTGGGGATTGGGTACTACGCAAAGTAATGGGAAACACCTTGGTCCCAGGAGACGGCAAGTTAGGCCCAAATTGGGAAGGTCCTTATAAGGTGGTTGGGTTAGCAGGCAAAGGGACATACCACCTAGAAGACCAGGATGGCAAGGCAATCCCTAGGCCATGGAATACGGCCAATCTCAAGTTATTTTACTTTTAGCTTTTCCTTTTGGAATAAACCAACACTTTGTACTCCTTAGCCGAAGTAAGTGCATGGCTGAGGAGTGGTTGGCTGGAATAAACCAACACTTTGTACTCCTTAGCCGAAGTAAGTGCATGGCTGAGGAGTGGTTGGCTGGAATAAACCAACACTTTGTACTCCTTAGCCGAAGTAAGTGCATGGCTGAGGAGTGGTTGGCTGGAATAAACCAACACTTGTTACTCTTCAGCCGAAGTAGGAAAAACTAACTTCAATAGTTGGCTGGAATAAACCAACACTTGTTACTCTTCAGCCGAAGTAAGTGTATGACTGAAGAGTGGTTGGCTGAAATAAACCAACTCGTGTTACTCTTCAGCCGAAGTGTATGACTGAAGAGTGGTTGGCTGGAATAAACCAACTCTTGATACTCTTCAGCTGAAGTAAGTGTATGACTGAAGAGTGGTTGGCTGGAATAAACCAACTCTTGATACTCTTCAGCCGAAGTAAGTGTATGACTGAAGAGTGGTTGGCTGGAATAAACCAACACTTGATACTCTTCAGTCGAAGTAAGTGTATGGCTGAAGAGTGGTTAGCTGGAATAAACCAACTCTTGATACTCTTCAGCCGAAGTAAGTGCAAGGCTGAAGAGTGGTTGGCTGGAATAAACCAACACTTGTTACTCTTCAGCCGAAGTAAGTGTATGGCTGAAGAGTGGTTGGCTGGAATAAACCAAACACTTTGTACTCCTCAGCCGAAGTAAGCATATCGGCTAAGGAGTGGTTGGCTGGTAAGCATAGTTTAAAAAAAAAAAACCGAAATAGAAATTGGAGTAATAGAAGACATTACAAATGCAAGCATACACACAACAACCGGAATAAGAGTTGCGTAATATTTTCATTCAAAGAGAAGTCATTACATGGGCATACTTCGGTTACAAAGAGAAGAAAAAATTAAGAGAAAAGTTCATCAATTTCAGCATCAAAAGCCGCATCATCACTAACTCGAAGACCGGTCTCAAGAGGAAGCTTACTCTCGGCTGCCATGATTCCTTCGGTTGGAACCACGTCTTCATTCGGCTGTTCGTTAGGATGGTCCTCTACCATGGGTTCCAACCGAAGTGATGGGTTGGCACCAACAACCGGAATGTCTTCAGGAGCAGAGGAGTCATCCGTGTCAGAGTCCTCCAGGAACTCTTGTTGCAAGGCATCTGCATACGCCGCAAGGGATTTCGGTATAAAGTACGCTGGAGGGTCGAAGACCTCGGTCTGTTCATCATGACCGAGCTTCTCCACAGCCGCCCTCCAGCCGCACTTGAAGAAAAGCTCCTTGGCGGCGTCGCATTGTTTGACATAGGCCTCCTCTGCCTCCTTGTAACCTCGCTTGTACCCCTCCTTTTCGGCCGCCTCCATGTTCTTTTTCAGTTCGTTTATTTCGGCGTCTTTTCTCTTCTCAAGCTTCAGCAGCTCACGCAGATATTTGTCTTTCATTACAATGGCCGCTTTTTGCTTCTCCGCTTCAGCCGAGCTAACAAGATCGGCAAGCCGACCGTTCTTTGCTTGAAGCTCGGTCATTTTCCTTTCGGCCTCCACTAGTTCGGCCGCCTTTGCTTCGGCTTCCGCCATCGCTTGCCTTGTGATTTTGCGGAGTTCCTGGACTTTCCTATAAGTGATATTGTTCTTTTGCAAGGCCTGGCAAAACAAAGATTTCTTCTCAACCGAAGTAAAAGTTGGAAAAATTTAGACAGAAAAAACAGACAGAGCTACTTACCAAGATCATGGACTTGGAAGCAGACCGAATTGATTTCATTTCGGTGTTCAGCTGCTGTCTCCAGAAATCTTTTGTGAGTTGTCTATTGTTTGTCATTTCGTACAAACAGAAATGGATATATATGTTGTTGTTTATCAATTGTCGAGTCAGAAGTTTGTTGCCGGAGTATCTCATTTGTGAAGCACCACAATTGTATATAAGGTCTTTATTTTTTTTATGGTTTTTTCCATTTGACATTAGGAAACAGTTACATTTAATTCTGAACTTCTAATATACATTCTTCTTGTATTCACTAGCATATTGCACAGATATTGGACTCTGTTTGTTCTGATGGAAAACATTTTCTTTGGGCAAACTGTTTTCTGCAGAAAAGAATTGGTGGTGGTGGTAGAGGGGTGGTTTTGTGGACACTATGCATGTTGTGTCTGTTTTGACATATCCATGACGGACACAACTTACCCGAACTTGGAATCTTCTTGCTAATAGCCTTGCTGCTGTTTTATGTAACTCTGGAAAAAAGATTACGCCTGACATTGTTGGGGCACTGGCAATAAACATGATGTTGCAGTGTAGTGTATATGAGGGACTCTATGCCTGTGCTTGAAAATGTGGGAAATTTCACCTTCCCCCACTTGAGACTCATTTTTTGTCCAGCAAATGCTCTCATGCCGGCATCTCACCTTCCCCCTCGTGGACGACTCTCCACTGTCGGCATCTCTGTTTTCTTGACCAGGACCATCAGGATCACTGGAAAAATAAAAGAAAAGAAAAAAGAAAAAGCAGCCCCTTTTTGCCATAATCTAACTCACTAAATTCTTGATCACTTGATATTGACTTTCGTTACAACTACAAACACAACGCCAAGACAAGCTCTCCTAAACTATGCTATGGGGCATTATAGGAAGCCAATGGAGCAACAATAACAATTTGGTCCATTTCCAAAAATATATCAATTTCCCTGTTTGTTAAATGTAATTCAAAAGCATATCTTAATTAATCCAACCTATCAACTCTCTATCTCTCTGTCTCTCTCGCTCTTGCTCTTTTTTTTTTTTGGAAATGGAACCTGAGAGGGTAATTTTTGGTAAAAATTGGGCCGAGCTATGAGATGGGTTTTGTGGCCCAAAGTGCCAAAAGCTTGGTGAAAAGGCCGCAATGTTACTCCGGCCCCGGGAAGGCCGCAATGTTACTCCGGCCCAGGGAAGGCCGCAATGTTACTCCGGTCCAGGAAAGGCCGCAGTGTTACTCCGGCCCAGGAGAGGCAAGGCTACTCCGGCCTAAGAGAGACAAAGTTGCTTCGGCACAGTGACTGTAAAAGATACTTCGGTCCGAAAGCAACTTGGAGTTATACCGGTATTGGGGTTAGATCGGCCGAAAGTCGTTGGTTCGGTCCAAGACCGTACCATGGGTTCTACATGAAAAGCTGAGATAAAAAAGGGAAAACACGAGGACCGAACTTAGGATGAGTTCGGTTTATTCAGTGGCTCTGCATAGCCAAGCTTATTTCGGTCATATAGTAGTTTGGCCAAAGTAAAAACCATCCCACTTGGTTTAAGCAGTGGGGGAGGGTGTAAAAGGATAAGCATTATCCTTAGGAGTATGAATCCTAGGAGGACTCTGCATGGAGAAATACAAGTCCTACTAGGATTGTGCCACGGGAAACTTATAAAAGCTTACAAACATCACCTTGGAGGAGGTAATTGAACACAATTTTTTCTGAGGACATAGAGCTTTGTCTATTTGTCAAGTTTTCTGACTTAGGCATCGGAGAGGTTTCAGGCACATACCCGCCGGCTAGCTCACGTTTGTGTTTTCAGGTGACAAAGCGACGTCGTACGGAGGAGCGTAGACTTGGTCAACAGGATTATACGAGGAGAATTATTTCTTCCCCGTACAATTGGCGCCGTCTGTGGGAACAAACAGACAAGAACAAAACCCTCTTGACTAAGTTTCTCATTTTCTCAATCAATGGCACACATTGAAGAACTACCGCAGTCTGCCGTCGACGGGCTAACTCCAAACGGGGGCGCAAGGCGAGAAGGATTACCCTCTGTCCCTCCTATGGCAGATCTGGAGCCCCAACAACATAACTCCAGGAGGAGTGGCAGGGGAAGGCGGAATAACAGCCCTCGTCACTCTCAAAGTCCTGACAGGCAAAGGAGGAGGATTGATCCTCAAGCCCTGGAAGATCGCGTAAAGGAGCAAGATGAACTAATTCGGAAGATGGCGGCGGACATGGAGGCTTTGAAACGCCAGATGAAGACTAAAGATGTGGCGACAGGAGAGGGGCGTAAGCACAGGACGCCCCCTCGCCACTCAGAGAATCGTAGTAGGAATACTACACCCTCCCAAGGAGAGAGCAGAAGCCTCAGGACAGGCGACACTCATTCCTTATCTTCCAGAACTCGTCACTCCAGGTTTGAGAGGACGAGATCTGAAAGATCATACACTGAAGGAACACGTATTGGCCTTCGCACTCACACCAAACCAGATCTAGACAGACAGAGTTGCCCAGGTCATCTGACTTACGAACCGTGCTCGAAGAAAAAGCACGATGCAAGGAGGATGCCAGGGCACGCGATCCACACAGAGTCTCTGCCTTACAACGGTTGGCTCCTCGGACGCATGGAAGCGTCGAGGTTGGAATGCCAATACCGCGCCCAGCATATGAACCAACGGACAAAGCCTTAGCAAGACTACAGACTTCGCCGTTTGTCCCAGCGATCGAAAACGCACCCCTACCATCAGGCTTCCTTCAGCCGAAATTCACTACATATGAAGGGAAGACGGACCCCTCTTCTCTTCTCGGACTTAATCATCTTAGGCCGAGATCTTGTCTTCTGGAATCTAGGATCCGAGATCTGGAATCCAGGATCAGCTTACTTGGGCTGAGCTCTTGTCTTCTCATATCCAGTGTTATCTCGGCTTCGCTACGGCGAACCATTTCTCTTCTCTGGTTTGGACGCCTTTGTCCCCGGCGTGTCCTCCTCGGCTCTGGCATACTTTTCTATCTTGACCATCAGCTCCTCCATGTTTTTTGGCAATGTCTTTGCCAATGATTTTCGAAGTAGGTAGTCATCCTTCAAGCCGCTTTTAAACGACACGACCGTCACCTCTTGATTGCATCTTGGTATTCGGTTGAATACCTCATAATACCTTTTGGCATAGGCCCTAAGACTTTCATCCTCGCCGATCTTCAGGGCCATTAGGGCGTCCACCGTCAATGGCTGTAGCTTGTTTGTCACGAACCTGACCACAAACATCTCGGCCAAGCCTTCCCAGGTTTTCACAGTTCCTTTTAGCAACTTGTGAAACCAATCTGATGCAATTTCTCCGAAGGATGAGGGGAACACCTTGCAGAGCAACGGCTCGTTCTCGGTGTACAACGCCATCAAGTTCAGGTACAAGCCGATGTGAAAGTTCGGGTCCGACTTACCGTCGTATATTTGAAACCTTGGCATACTGAACCTTTTCGGGGTCTCAAATTTGTCTAATTCTATCGAAAACGGTGTCCTCGGCTTGATAGGTGAGGTCACCTTGGCATCTTGTCGCTTTCTCTCGAGGTAATCCCTCAGATCCTCCTTGGTTCGTCCAGGAGCTCGGCTATCTCTGGATTTCAGCCTCTTTGGTGCACTACTTCCTGTGTCATTGCGAGTCCTTTTGGACCTCCCTCCATTGGTCACGTAAAAACAGAGGTCTTTCTCCTGAACATGCCGATGTTCTTTGGAGTCAGCTTCCTTGGTGTGATGTGTCCTCTGTGAATCTCCCCTTCTTGATTCTCCTCGTCCGACCTCCCTTGAAGGCCGGTGAGAATGTTCTTTGGTCCTATTGTGCTGAGGAGTCATAGGAGTTGTCTTCTGCCCCCCTGCCTGGGCATCTTTCTTGGCTGCTGGAATCGCCGTATCTTGTGACGGGAATGGTGGCTGCATGACGTTGTTCTGTATCATGAAATTGACAACCGTTTGCAGGTCCGCCAATTTGTTCGTCATTCCTTTTATCTTGTCGTCCCTTCATAACCTGGAGGTCGTCCTCGTTATAATACTTGCTTCGGTCTGATTTCTTTTGCACGTTGCCCTCCTGGCCGACGTCCTCTTCTCCGTGATTCTTATCACGAGTTTTTTCGTTGTAGTTGTCTTCTTCGACGTCAAGGTCAATATGTTTCCCACTCTCAGTAGGGGTGTCGTCCCCAACCTTCTCTTTCGGTCTGTCGTTAGCCATCTATTCTCCTTTTGTTCCCACAGACGGTGCCAAATTGTGTGGGTGATTTTCTGACCACACTGCCAAACAGGTATCCAGCTGGAGAGCATCAGTAGAATAGATTAAGCCCGAAGACCTGCAACAGAAAGAAGAGTTTCCGGCGGTGGCTCATCCACCTGAGGGCACTCCAACGATCAAGTCAGTACTCAATATCTCTCAAAGATAACCAATAGTGCTTAACTCACTAGACAGAATAACAAAAGCATACCTTAGACCCATGGGGGTGCCTTTCTTTTATAGCAAACTTAATCCTAGTCCCAATAGAAGCCTAACTCTATTGGACTTAGGATTACTTGCTAATCTTGGACTCCCAGTAGGATTAGGATAAACTTTTTAAGAGTCTCATATTTACCCAAACTGAAGTCATCTCTCATTCTAGGACTTTTGTTCTTTATCTGCTTATCTCGGATTCCGGTATTCTCGCAGATAACTTCGGCCTAGCCGAGATTACCTCGGCGTCATGATCAGGACACGTGACACCTCAGCTGGCACTTCGATGACACCTCGACCTCGTATTATCATTCAAAAATTATGTATCCACAAAACTAAAATAATTTGACATCTTCTTTTTACCATGCAAAAATTGACATTGTTGAAGACATGCCAAATGCCATCTCATATTTGAATATTCGGGTAAAGCACAAGTGCACTCGTCAAAAGTGCCACCTATGAATTTGACAATTCGGGTGAAGATGTTCTAAGATTTAAATTTTAATCAAATCAAATATACAAATTTGTCAAGTCAAGCTCAGGAATCAATAAACTTTAAATTAGGCTCAAGAATCAATAAATTTTAAAATATATTTAAAATTAAGTTATTTATAGATTTTTAATAAATCGAAATGAGTCTAACAATTTTAATTACTTAATTCTTTTTACAACTTCACATGAAAAATGAATAATGCAAAATAAATTAACAACGTCTATAAACTTGTCTGATTTATTAAAGTGGCACATATCATATTATTAAAATGGAAAAGTCTACAATATACACTTTCAAAAAGAACATATGATATGTATTTATTATGTGGTTTATTTTGTGCCGCATCATAAAAAGTGACTTGTTAAACCAGTCATTTAACAAGTTACATGAAAAATCATAACTTTTTTTTAAATATCATAACAATATTACAATGAATCATAACAATATCATAATATTCACGAAGGCGTCATAACAACGATATTATAAATCATAACAATATGACAACAACTCATAACAAATATGGTTATTTCTAACTAATTATCATAACATTTGAATCGTAACATTTTTTATTATAATTCACCATGATAAATAATAACTTTTGGTAGTACAAATTGTCAAGCCCCGTATTTTATCCCTCGGATAATATTACCAATATTCATTAATTAATTCCATTTACAAATAACATTTCATCCAATAATTAAATATACATATTCCCTCTCGTTATACAACAATGGAATTTACATACAAATAAAAGAAATGCCTTAAGGCTTACAATAAAAGAGAGGACTCTATTCTTTACAAAAAAAAATAACACTCAGTCAAACAACAAATAAAGTAGT